TAAGAGGGGAGCGGGCCGGGGATAAAAGGATGTAGCAGCAGTGCCGGGGTATTTTACGGGTTTCCTCGTCTGTCCCTTACTTTCCCCCTTAATTTTTTTTTAATAATTTGCTTATTTCATTAATAAATTATTGATTGATAATTTAATAAGAAGCAACGAAGTTTTAAACTACAGCTGTGTAGTGGTGTGTTAAAACGCTTTGATCATGGGCCGCAAATTATCGGCCACGGGCCGCGAAAAATTAGGCATTGGCCGCGAAACACCTCTTATTCTGTATTATTTCTTCTATGTTAGGCGTATTTTACGAGCCTCATTTTCCCTCATTTTTTTCTCAATTCGAAATTTTAAGCTATAGCTATGTAGTGGTACGTTAAGACGCTTTGATCACGGGCCGCAAAACATTAGATTCCGGCCGCGAAATACCTCTTATTCTGTATTATTTCTTCCTTTATTTCTTTTGGGCATTAAGCGAATTTTTCAGTTTTTCCCTCATTTTTTCCTGAAGTTTCTGATAATTTGCTTGTTTTATTAATAATTATTGATTGATAATTCAAAGCAGTGAAGTTTCAAACTACTGCTATAAAAAGACTTTACAGACTTTGATCAGCTATTGTTTCATTGTCGCGTTTCTTCTCGTCTTCCATCTTTCTCCAGTTTTGAATGGACAAAATAAGTTTTTGTGTTTAATATCGAGTACCAAAGTTTTGCTTGGACAAATGTGCATTGGTCTTTTATCTCACAAAATACTGTAAAATTGGCACGGATTTTTGGTGCCGTGAGATATGTCGATGAATCGGAGGGACCCTGTTGTACAGGGCCAACTAGTAACAGAATAGGCCTCACTTAATGGACCGAAACGTCTTATCTCACTGTTACCTTCTTTTCTCATACTGTTCTTTCATGCTGTAATCTATTACGCTTTCGCCATTTAGGCTTCCAAGGTCAACCTGATTGCAACTACAGTCGGCTTAATAATATTGATGATCCTGATAGACCACAAATCATCGGACAGCTTCCGGTTTTTACAGAACAAACCCCTGCGAGAAATACCTTTTAAACCATAATTTTCGATAAGTGTTATATTTAGCAGTATAACTTTTAAAATCGTTTTGCTAAGAAATTAAGCTCGATTTTTACCGAGAGGGTGAAAAAAGTAGTAGAAGTCTCAGAAGAGGTAGAAGTGATCAAATAATGCAAGCATTTCCCTTACTTCTTTCTCTTTTATAGTTATTACTATGTTTCATGATCTTTTATAGTTATACTGCTTCTCATGATCTTTAATAGTTATTATTGCTTTTCATGATCTTATATAGTTATATTGCTTTTCATGATCCTTTATATTTATACTGCTTTTCATGATCCCTGATAGTTATTTACTGTTTTTTATGATCTTTTGTAGTTTTTGCTACTTTTTATCATCCTTGATGGTTATTCCTACTTTTCATGATCTTCGCTACTGCTGTTTATCATAACTTTATCATAAAAGTTTATTAATTTAATGCTCCCTAATATAGGACTAACTAACAGTTTAACACCACATCAGTAAGGGATTAGCTGCCCAAAAGTTAATTTTTTGTATTAAAAATTTGTGAAATAAATAGAAAAGGGGCAGTAAAACGGGTGACTAACGTAACGTACAAGTTGTAAAATACTAGAAAAAGCAAATTATTTATTTTTTGTAGTAATAAATACCACCAAAAAATACGCCTAAGTAGCAAAAAAAAAAAAAAAATAGAAAAAAAAGCTAAAAATCGTTCATGATCTGCTTGGTTTTCACCTACGAACAAGTGAAATTTTTGACAAATTGCTAACTCGGAAACCAGAAAAGCTAGAAGGCTGAAATTTTAAGGGACTATTCTCAGTCGGCATTCTGTTTAAATAGAAAAGTATATTAACAAGGAGTGGAATAAACAGAAGAAACAAAAAGGGAGGGGAGAAATGAGAATTAGAAAATTAGTGAAATTATCAATAATGGTAAAAAATATTTTGGTTCACTAAGTCGTATACATTTCTTACCATTACCACAATCAGAGCAAAGCGTACTTAATAACTGAACTTCAGAGACTTGAAATTCAGTTACTAAGTAAGCTTTGTTCTACGATAGCGCCGAAGCTACTGGTAATAATTGCTGTTGAAATATACGTAATATTAGCGCGGAAACTATATTTTTCGAGGAATTGCAGAAATGTTGGATGAGTTTCTGGATGAGTTGCGAAGTCCCGCAGTGTTTCTGTATATTTCGATGTTACTCTCGTGGTGTGTTGTAAGCAGTACACAGCTCGGCGATTCGGTTGAACTTGAATTCAAAGCATATCGCCTACAGCAATACGATGTTGTTGGTTCACCACGTGGTAGCCGCTCCTGGAAAGGTTTGGTTTTTTTCGTTAACTTGAAAAATATATTTTGATTAAATTCCAGAAGTTCAGGGGATTCCTTTTTTTTTTGAAGATTTTGAGTATTGCCTGGGGGGCTTTTTCAATTCCCGGAGCTCAGGACTGTGATGTATTTTTTGAGATCCGGCAATTTTTTTGGTTATTTTTTAAATAAATGTGGATTTTTTCCTAAATTTGAGTTGTGCGTGAGCTATTTTTTATGAGAATTCGTAAATTTTACTCATGTTTTTCCTAGAAGTTTAAAAAAAAGTTATTGCATTTTCGTGGATTTTAGAGTTCACTGTTCCCGGGACTTTAAGAATTTCCTGGATTTTGATGTATTTTTTTTTTTTTTTGAAATTCGGAAAAATGTTCTGGTAATTTTCAAATGATTGTATATTTTATCATGATTTTGGGATATGCATGAGCAGTCTTTTAATGGAAATTCCAGAATTTCCGTGTATTTTTTCTAGGAATTTAAGAATTTCTGCATTTTCGTGGGTTTTAGAATTTGCTATTTCCATAAATTGAGTTATAATGTTAATGTTTTTCTATGCTTTGGTGTTTTTTTTTCAAAAAATCTGGATGTCCCGATGCTTTTCCTGAAAAGGCCGAAGCTCTCCAGAGCAGGAATAGAAGCTAAATAGATAGGCCGAGAGTGGTGATGAGTTTGGGTCCCCCCGGTGATGAGGAGGAGTGCTTTTATACCCCATAGGTCAGAGATTACTAAGATAGCTAAAGTTTAACGAGGGCAGAGTGCCCAAAGTTTGAACCAGGGACAGGGGCATTGCGTCACAGTAACGCGTTATTCTT